TTGTCGCGACGCCTGTCCGCCGACAATACGTTCAGCTCATAGTAGGCCAACCCCTGCATATAGCGGGACAGTAGCCGATCGGTGAGCTGTCGGCGCCACTCCAAGTACACCGACGACGCGATGTAATTCTGGATACTCTTCAGCAGAGCTATCACTGCAATCAGAACCAGCGCTTTGATGGTCTGCTGCCAGAACTCCGTCACATCCCTTTCCCCCAACGCCTTATAGTAGGTGCCGGTTATCATACCTAGCAATGAGTTCATATATAATAAATATTGTGTTTAGTATACTTTACCAGTAATCCCAGCCCCTAATCCCAGTCCCTAATCCCAGTCCCCCAACACATACCTATATTATAGGCCGCAGTCTCGTATAGTATGGTCACGAATAGCAGGTATAGTATAATCATAGATGACTTTCCCCTCAGGATTACGGTCAGTATCCTTAGGAACCGCTTCAAGAACTTGCGGTCAAACGAAAAGTTCTCCGATTCCGGCATTCTTTGCGACAATTGTCTCAACACTTGCGGCGATTATCACTTGATTTAAGTGATTATTATTTGCTTCACTTTGACTTCACTTGAAATTCAATGAATTTGATATATTTTGTTGCATTGAATGCCATTTAACTCGCAGTGAAAGTGGAGTTTAATATAGTTATCAACTGATAAGACATGTTATATAAGAGTGCCATTAGAGGGCTAGTGGTTGGGTACCGGTGCCCTACATAGCGTGACCCTTGCACTTTACAATAAACCAGTCATTTTTATGATTATCAACAGCACAGGTAGCTTTTGGAACATACAGTATTTCGTAACATGGTTAAATCATATGTTTTCAAGTCTGTATTTATAGTGAGAAACCCCGTTATTATAGGTATATATAATGACAAAAACTAAACAAGCACATATTGATTATTTTTTGACCCTAGTTAAAAGCATTATAATACAATATAATGTGATTGATCTAGTTAACTTTGATTTTAATTATAAAAATAAAGTTTTCAAGTATTAAATGGTAAACATAGCTATGAGTGACACCTATCGGACATTCAGTGCTATTTATAGTACAATCGCTTTACGCAAAAGAGAATCAAGTGCTATAAAATATTTTATACTAAAAAGTACTAAATATTCACCCTATACTTCACAGACTTTATGTTCCTTTATATATGAATATTATCTCATACTATATGCCTATTTTGCAAACAACACACACAACCAGTGATTCAGCACTTAATACACACAACACTTGCTGTGAATTATCGTCGATATAGTGGTTAACCATCGCTGAAGACAATGACAGTCATCGCCAACACAGCTGATCCCATACGGGAGAAGGCTCTGCAGGACTACCGCAAGAAGTTGGTGGAGCACCGGGACATCGAGAGCAGACTCAAAGACGGTATGGTAGACCCCATTGACCGCCAATTATCACCTCACAGTCGATGACCACTTCATTAACCACTCTATTATCCACTCAATCAGTGCGGGAATCGCTCAAAGAAGTGAACAAACAGTACGAGAAGAGTGAGAACGACTTGAAAGCCCTGCAATCGGTCGGTCAGATCGTGGGGGAAGTCCTGAAACAGCTGACGGACGACAACTTCATCGTGAAGGCGACCAATGGGCCCCGGTATGTGGTCGGGTGTAGGCGCCAACTCGACAAAAGCAAACTCAAAGCCGGCACTCGGGTGGCACTCGACATGACTACCCTCACGATCATGCGATACCTGCCCCGAGAGGTGGACCCTCTGGTCTACAACATGTCCCACGAAGACCCCGGAGATGTCAACTACTCGTCCATCGGAGGTCTGGGAGAGCAGATCCGTGAGCTCCGGGAGGTGATTGAGTTGCCGCTACTCAACCCCGAACTCTTCCAGAGAGTGGGCATTACGCCGCCCAAGGGATGCCTACTATACGGACCGCCCGGTACTGCAGTTCATAATGTTTTGTGTTTACGGAGAGAGAGAGAGAGAGAGAGAGAGAGAGAGAGAGACAGACAGAGAGAGGGAGAGAGACAGACAGAGAGGGAGAGAGACAGAGAGGGGGAGAGAGAGAGAGAGAGACTACTCGTGTGAATGCGTGAAAACACTTGTGTTTTGATTACAATTTAGTAATGAATTTGAATAATAATGAGTGGTTTGTCTGACCTATAGGTACGGGTAAGACACTACTGGCCCGAGCGGTGGCCTCACAACTGGAGGCAAACTTTCTGAAAGTGGTGTCGAGTGCCATAGTGGACAAGTACATTGGTGAGAGTGCCAGGCTCATTCGCGAGATGTTTAACTACGCGCGCGATCATCAGCCGTGCGTTATATTCATGGATGAAATCGATGCGATCGGTGGGCGCCGGTTCTCAGAGGGTACGAGTGCTGATCGGGAGATACAGAGGACTCTTATGGAACTCCTCAATCAGATGGACGGCTTCGACTCGTTGGGACAGGTATGTCATCTGTGGGGTAGGCGTTAGGAAAGTATTAACACTATCTGTAATGGAACGGTAGGTTAAGATGATTATGGCGACCAACAGACCCGACACACTGGACCCGGCGCTCCTACGGCCGGGCAGATTGGACCGTAAGATTGAGATCCCACTGCCCAATGAGCAAGGTAGACTAGAGGTGCTCAAAATACACGCCCAGCCCATCGCCAAACACGGAGAGGTGGACTGGGAGGCGGTCGTGAAGCTGAGCGACGGCTTCAATGGCGCCGACCTGAGGAATGTGTGCACCGAAGCGGGACTGTTCGCCATCCGAGCGGAAAGGGATTACGTGATCGAAGAGGACTTCATGAAAGCCGTGCGAAAGATCAGCGATAATAAGAAGTTGGAGACAAAACTCGATTATCAACCCGTTTAGTATAACCACTGTTTGTCTCAACATATTTGTCTTAATTTATGGTTTAATTGATTATTATATTCAATAAAACACAACATTTTTGCCTTTTTTTGATAATAAGCTGTATTTGCGATAAGATTTTTATATAAATTCACTTTTTATCCTTTTGTGTAATTGTCTCGCGATTTGAATTGGATTTAGTTTTTGAAACAAATTATCGTTAAAATAATGACACAAACCGTTAACATCGAGGGGAACGGTATGTCCATTCCGGGTGAGAAATACAAGGAGCGATGGGTGAACCCGTCCATCAGAGACGGCCTACTCTTTCTGTTATCGATGTCTGTTGTCTTGCAATCGTTTCTGATTCTGTACACAATCTGTAAATTAATATCCTTTTTGTACGACAAATACTGGCCACCGATGGCCGACCCGTTGTATGACTCGGACAATGATAACTCGGATACGACTTCCGACTCAGACCTGTTCACAATCATTACGGATCTAATCATAGAGTAAGACTTTTGGTGATAAACACCAATTGAAGTAAACTTTAAAACTTTTGAAACTTGTTTTTTGTAATTCAAAGAGTTCTGAAGCTATTGATACTAGTGGTGGGTGTGTTCAGTATCATCGATGTGGTGGAGGGTCTCATAGGGGTAGTGGTGTTCTGTCTGTTCCACACGTTTGCACTCTTTTGTGCGGTTATGTCAACGCCTATACTCTTCAGTCGGCATCAAATCGGGAAAACAGTTTACCATAAGATTGAAAACTATTCACTCATTTTGATGATTGCTTTGCAAACAGTTGTCTCGGTTTTAGCCATAATTAGTCTCACATATAATATGTCACATCTTAAGGATGATCTCAAATAATAGTATTAACACATAAATACAGTTAATTATTAAACAAATTGTAAATTAATACAAATTAAAACACAAAAATGATTTTTTAAAAACTTTTTGTCCACTCAATGACTGCTCCCCTCTATGTATGCGTTACGTTATATACGAGCGACTCGTTTATGTGTTTACCATTCATTGCGTGAATAAAGCGTTTCAACGACTCCTTGATATCACATTTGATTCACTCGTGAGGTTTGTGTCCACACGTGTTAGACACCACTCGCACAACCACTCCATCCGAAGAGTACATCTCTATCACCGGACAGTCAACGCATAATGTCTTCACGAGAGGGTAAGCCATACGCGACACACGAGTGGCAAACACATAGCATATGATATGACAGCTAATCCAGTGCTATGTCTGTGATTATGAACGAATAGGCGGTAAGAAGAAGCCATTGAAGGCCCCGAAGAAGGAAAAGGGAGAGATGGATGAGTCGGACGTGGAGTTCAAGAAGAAACAACAGGAGGAGCAGAAGAAGCTCAAGGAAATGGCCGCCAAAGCCGGACAAAAGGGTCCACTCGTCGGCGGCGGCATCAAGAAGTCCGGCAAAAAGTAGGCCATCCGATGGACACACATCACCGCCATCTACGGTCTCCATCAACTCTTGATTATCATATGATTTTGAATGTTTTTTATTACAATTAATCGGTTTTTTGTCTAAAAATTTGTTTATTTTATCGTAAATCCGGTTTCAATTTGTTTTTCAATGTGTGTCCACTCGTACCGGTGGACACCACCACCATCTGCGGTGTCCATCAGTTTAATGATCACAAAATTTGTTTCAGTCAAACCTCTTATTCACATATATTTTTGTCTAACTTTTTATTTTTTACTTTAAATTGAGTTTAAAATTGATTAAAATTTGTTTAATAATTAACTCGCAATACAGACAAACATAAAGCAAATTGACTTTCATTTGGTTAACCGATCAATAAATTCATTTAAAACAATAAATAAATTAAATGTCAAATAACTTGTGCCTAAAATTGCAATGAAATTCAATACTAATTAAACGCTCAGATCTGTGACCGCACGAGAGCACCGGTATGTCTTAGTGACTGACTAACCGCGTCCTATTCCTCACTTCATTCTTGAGATAGTCGACGATATCGCTGGTCGACGCCTGACCCCCGAGGTCTGGCGTATGGATTTTAGCCTCATTTATGCACTTATATATCGACTCCCTTAGGATGACGGCGTACGAGTCCAAGCCGAGGTACTCCAGTAGGTCGGCGCTCGCGTTAAACATCGCCAACGGATTGGCTATGTTTTTGCCCGCAACTGATTTACCCGTATTTCGGGTTCCCTTTTGGGGTTCAAAACATTTTATAGAAAAAATCACTTCAATTATTAACTAAACAAAAATCCAAATACCGTTTCAAATACAGCATAATTATCGCCGTAATTACCACCGGAAGTGACGCCCGGCCCGCCTACCAGTCCACACATTATGTTTGTAAGTATATTGCCGTAGAGGTTGGGCAGCAATAGTACGTCAAATTGGTTCGGGTTTGAGACCAACTGATTTCAGTTTTCAGTAAAAATAGATACAGAGATCAGAAAAGGAGGGAACGGTATTGACGAGCACCCATACCTGCATCGAACAGTTATCGATAATCATGTTATTGTACTTAATCTCCGGGTATTCCTTCGCCATATCCGTACATATCTTGAGAAACAATCCGTCGGCCAGTTTCATGATGTTAGCCCTGAAACACACATACAAATGACACGCCTGTCCACACCCGCCAACCCTCGGACACTCACTTGTGAACGCACGTCAACTTCTTCCTACCGTTGCGTTTGGCGAACTCGAAGGCATACCTCGCGATCTGTTCCGTGCGCTGTCGCGTCACGATCTTCAGCGACTCCACCACACCGTCGACCGACTCGTGCTCTAAACAGAGATGTGT